AATCACACAAAAATATACAAATCATACAAAAATATACAAATCACACAAAAATATACAAATCATACAAAAATATACAAATCATACAAAAATATACAAATCACACAAAAATCACGCAAGAATATACTTTTAAAAATATAAATAAATAAAGATAAGAAAGATGCAATGTAATGCATATATATAGGGTGGGTTTAATGACGTCATAGCAGCTGAGTTAAGAGTCAATTATTATTAAAAAGTTTTATTGCACTTGGAAGGAACGATCTCCTGTATCATTCATTCTTGCAGCGGGGTTGTATAAGGACTATGAGGACTCTTTCAGAAGCTGAGCTAGTTGTGTGATTGTTACAAGCCAATTCATCTGGCCATGTCCATTTGTGCCAATAAACATTTCTCACAATTTCTTTGGTAAAGATATTTTTTGCTTCTTTTAGCATATATTTCATCTAATCTTCACTAAATTTGGTACATACCATATTTAGATGAAGCCTTATGACTTATGACCTGACAGTAACAATATACATTTCTGTAGTCCTTAATAAGATGAAACTTCTCCATAAGCATGCACAAAACATATTAAGGCATGGCACCAATAGCTCCACCATGTACCATTAATAAAACACCACCATATTTCTTGAACACATTATTCAATAACTTCAGATGTGAATATCATTTTTCAATTCAATTCAGTTTTATCTTTAATAATAATAGAAGTTATCTCATGACAGTTTTCATACAGAGCAGCAGCAGATGCAGCAATCACACTAGTGTTCTTCATTAATTAATCTAATTTTTTAAAAATGGCCCTATATAAGCACAGTCCATTTATCATTTAAAATAATGTGTCATACATAGCAATGGGGTCAACCACACCTGCTCAAAGTTCTGTCCCTTCCTTGCTCAGAGTTGCTCTGAGAATTTGAAGTTTGGAGGTCTCTGAGAGTATTCTCATCATGTTTGTGAATGCGGACCCTGGCATACTCAGGTCTCTCGTAAAAGAGATCTCGATCTCATGGAAACTGATTAAATTACTGTTTTATATATGGAGAAGATCATTCCAGTCCTCATTTTAGTAATTCCTATAGGTTAGAAGAGACTTTCAAACATATTGCATTTTTACACAATACAATTTACAGAATCAGAATCCCTTCACCATTTGTCTAAATTTTTCAAAACTGATCTTTGTCTGCCAAATAGAGAATAATTGAATGTAGATTTGATACAGCATGCACATGTATGAGATTAATGATGGAATGAAATGTAGGTGAAGAAGCAACATGATGTATGCTGCTGCGTTCATTCCTGTGAAATCTCTATTCATATTCCCATTAACAAGTGCAAGCTAATTTCTCATGAATAATGAAAGCTTTAGTTCTGAATTTATTTTGGTGTCTTTGATCAGAGTGTGACACACTGCCAACTGCTCTTATGCTCATTTACAGAGCTTAATCAAACTATATTATCATGGAGCATGATAATGCATGGAGAGAACAACTTGTTGTGGACCTCCTTTATCACTGTAAATTAGTGGTTCATGGGTTATTATAGGTGTGAAAAAATTATGACTCATGTCATCTTTTTTTGTTTTAGTTGGCTTTTAGTAATATATATTTATTTAGTTTATTTGTCACAGGTTTGTGTAATAAGATGCAGGTTACCCTTATGCTATATATATATTGGTGATTAATAAGTCAAACTTTAAAAAATAACAAATGAACAAAAAAAGAACAAAAGCTGAAAAGGGATTGCTGATGTGGATCTATAAAAACAAAAAAAATACCAACTGAAAGGAAAGCTGTACTTCTCTCTCTCTCTCTCTCTCTCTTTCTCTTTCTGTGTGTGTGCGTGTGTGTGCGTGTGTGTGTGCGTGTGTGTGTGTGTGTGTGTGTTGATAATGACTGTCTGTTTTGAGGGTGTGGGGTGAATGGGGCTAATGTAACCAGAATGAACTGGTTTGGGAGACAAAAGCAGGGGGGCTAGGGGAGGTGTATGTGAGAAACATAGGAAACAAGAGAGAGAGACAGAACTTTTCCCATGAGTCTTTCTACAACTGCATCATAAACAAGTAAGTGCTCTCTACACTTCAGCTAATCCTTTACATGAACATTTCTGAATTGCAATTACTTAAAAATGACAAAGAACCCCCATCAACAAGTCAGTTCAACACAGTGTTCGCTTTGGTTAAAAGTTAAAAAAACATTATTTTAAAAAACAAGTTTTGCTAATAGCTTCCATTGAGAAAATTATACTAATTACTTGTGTTTTGTTTGTTTGTGTATTCAGGATTTGGTGTTAAAAAATTAACATACCGTACATTTTTAAAAAAGCACACATTTCTATCAAAGTTTGTATTGTCCCCTTTTCTTCCTTGGCTGCTTATCCTTTTTGTTTGATGCTGCTGGAATGTATTTGCATTTATTGTTTCAGGTCCCAGCACTTTCCCCCTTACTCAACTTTGAAATACTGCAAGTAAAGCTCTTCTATACACACACATACAGGCACAGATAATGTGTGGGAAATGGGAAAATGTGTGTGTGTGTGTGTGTGTACAGGGACAGTAGTTAAGCTATTGTAGCACATTTTTAGTGTTTGATTAAAATGTTAGAAATGCATGTTTTTGCTTCTTGCTGAGACAAGTAGCTTTGCTGTGTTGTGCTGTTAGTCTCTGGCACAATTCCAGTGTGTGTGTGTGTGTGTGTGTGTGTGTGTGCGTGTGCTTTTTTGATGACAAACTGTTCAACAGAGCAGATTGGTGAGCTGCAACTAAAATGCAAGTAGAGAGGGAGACAGATGCAGCTCAAAGAAACTTAATTGTACAACCCATTATTGTCCCCAAAGTGAATATTTATTACCTTGTCAGCTATGAATTACAGTAAATTCTCAGGTATCGGCCTTACCTCCAAAAGAACCAACTTTTTTATTTGATACAGACATGTTTTCATAGTTTTATTCCACTGTTTGTATAAATATACTGTATATATACTAAGGTTTTGGGGTTTTGTTTTGTTACAAGTATAACTTATCATATTTAAAATTATGAAAATGTCCTTTATGTTTACCTGTTGTTGCTAAATTCTGCATAATGTCCATTTCCACACATGACCTAACAAAACTGAGCTGCCTCCTGTTCATTCCCTTCTCTGTATATTGTGTACATTATTCCTCTGCTGGAATATTACTTAGCCCCAGGGTTGATGTGCAATAATGTGATAAACCAAACTAATTTAGGAATATGTATCATGCAAGCACAATATCAACCACAATAATGAAGCCAAAAAAAGAGCCTCAAGATAAGAAAGTAAAGCACCCACCTTTTGGCCCTTATCATGTACTGTAAGTGGATATTGTGCTTTAGGGAAGCATGTTCGTAACAAAATTACAGTGAAATGATGTATGACATAAATTTCTTAAATTGAAAGCCTTCCAGAAGATCAAAGGGCATGATCCTTCCCTTTCCTGGTATACTTTTAATGTGAAAAATCTGCAGGATGAGGTTGACTTGATTTGTGGTTGTTCTGTCAACCTGTTGTAGTGTCTGCTTGGATGGCATGGAGGAGTTGCACCCCTTAGCTTGAACATCACATGGTCTCTAGCCCATTCCCTACACAGAATATTTATAAGAGAAAAAATATTGGCCAAATAATATAGGGATCATTACCTGTCCAACTATTAGGCATAGTATAAGGCAATATTTAGGCAAAAGATGAGCTTTGAAAATAGATTTATTATGACAACAAACTGTCACAGGCAAATGAGACAGAATGGCATTAAAAGCCAGGTAACTATAAAACAGAAAACCACAATAATTACGGTAC